ACAATTTCTCACAAACCCCAAAATGAAGAAACAACATAACAACAGGTCAATAACGAGATATTACCTCTAAGTGATGCCCCAAATGCAATGAAATTCGAATCCAAGCAAATCCCCTTGCTCCAAGCCTTGAATCTTCTCAAAATTCCTTCAACCATTACTTCTCCAAGCTCCAATCCACTCAACAATGGTGCTTCTCCGTGATTTAGGGTTTTCTGGGGCTCAAGGGGTGATAAAGAGGCTGGGAGGAAAACATAGTGATCTTTATATAAGGCTCAACCCCGAGAATTAGGGTTTTCTCCACTCAGCGCCTACTCCCCGAGTCCATTACACTGACTCGCCGAGTCGGTCACTTAACACGCGACCAGGTCGCGACTCTACTCGCCGAGTCCGTACATGGACTCGCCGAGTCACTCTTTCCCAATTTACTCTTTTAGCCCTTCAACTCTACTCTTGATATTTCGGAATGTTACAAATTAAGAATAAAAATAGGTTTCGAAAATAAATATTAAATAAAGTCGATATCTATTAAGAAAGTTGTAGTGGTCGCGACAAGGATTCCAGATACATAAAGAACACCGAAATCCGAGTTATAACGAAAAAGTTATGACCTGTCGAAGTTCCGCGACAAAACCGGCACGACAGAATGACGTAAAAAGTGAGTTTTTGATGAACTACTTTTTATCCTTAGTGATCTAAACGAAAGTCATAGTGTTCGTCAAACCGAGAGTATGTATAAAAAGAACGCCCAAATTTGACTTTGTATGAGAAAAATATGATTTTTCTAAGTTTTAACTTAGTAGTAGACACCTAAAACTCGAATTTTAGACCGAGTATTTTTAGCCGACACAATGTAAACGAGAATCGAAGGTCTCATCAATAGTAGTACAACGGTAAAAACACAGACGAAAACGAATGTCGGTTGAAGAAGTTATGAATTTTTAACGGATTTCCTGTCCCGGTCTGTTAAAAATAATAATATAAAAACTAAATTCAAAATTAACCGATAAAGTCTAACTAAAGTTGTAGAGCGTAATTTTACCTATGCGTGCATATAAATAACGTCAAAAACGGAGCCCATATGCGAAAGTTATGAATTTTAGAAGTTTCGGCACAAAAATCGAATAAAATGCCAAATCTGAGAAATTTCGCATGGTGGGATTTCGGCCACGTCAACCCTCGCTCATAACGCACCACGTATCCGAAATTGCTGAGTCACCAAAGCTAGCTGGCGAGGCGTGTCGCATGCCCTCGTATACGAAGCGCGGTCCAGTAGGACTCCGACATGTGCCCTTCTTGACGTGTCCGAGCTTCGCAAGCGCGTCACGACTCAAACCTCGGACCTAGACCTCGGTCCAATTAGAAGCAGCCAGCTGGACCCTCGCACATGCCTTCTCTTCAGATCTGCTGCCACGTGGAGTCTTCTCAACCGTCCGATAATTTGGAAAATTGCCATTTTACACCCCTAAACTCATATTTCTTCCATTCTAACTTCCCCCAAAGCCCCGAAATTATACCAAACACCCAAAATACGTCCCGAAGTGCCCAAAGACCTGGAAAAATTTATCTTTTCGGTTTTGAAGCCCAACCCTCGCAGAGCCCCGTTTCTCAATAAAACTCCCGGTTTTTTTAGAAACGATCGTTTTAGGAAACAAAGTGCTACCTGATTATCATTAAATCAAGTGAGTGTGTAGTCACTTTCATCTTACACATAGATATGAAGTATTTTCTATAAAATACGTGCTATGTGTAATTATATTAATTGTTTATTTGAGGTGACTGTTGAATAGATGTTTTATATAAGTTTTAAATTGTATATGTATTTTATCTACAAATATGTTGGGTAAAACATGGGTAGACAAAATAGTCGATGTGTGTTAAAATGGTGAGAGGCCTTGATGTTGTTGTTTTTGTTGTTGTAGTCAACTAGCGGAGTATAGATGACGACCACGGACCTTTCTAGACAGTCCAGTGGAACAGTAGCAGGTTTGCAACTTGTAGGAGTTGGTGAACTATATGCTCATTGGTGTATTTCATCCCCCTCATTGTTGCCTTTAGGACATGTATGGCTGAGGAGTCCCCTTAGCAGTAGTGTCCATCCCGATGATATTCCTTAGGCTAGGTCCCTTGTGATAGGTGTTTAGGGACATAAAGTGAGGATAACGAGAATGAGTAATCTGGGTTATTGTTGATTGGTGAACTTAATAAGTTTATTATTATTGTGCATTGAAAACCCTATATGCTCACCAGGCTCCCAAGCTTGACCCACTCAACTTGTTATGTTACAGGTAGTGGAGAAAACAGACCTTTAATGACACACTTTTTATGACACGCACTAATTAATGATACGCAAAAGGACGTGCCCTTAAAATAGTGTTATCTCTCCAAAAAATTTAAGGATTTACGTCACGCATTATTGCGTGCCCTTAATTTAGTGTCTCAAGAAAAAAAAACACGGAGAGCACTTTATCTTAAACGTGCGTCGTCTGTAGCTGTCGCTTTATAATTTTAATGAAACGTGATTTTAGTAGACAAGGGGGGAAACGAAATTCCCAAAATTTTGAAAACCCGCCTCGTTCTTTTATCTTCTATCTTTCATCCTTGCAATCCACTCTCCCCTCTCTGATACTCTCTCCTCTAGATCTCCCTTCATTCTCTACCTCCCGTCTCTTTGTAAACCCTAGCCATCGCCACCTCCCTTCTCTCTAGCACGTGCTAGGGTTTTATTTTCTTTCAAGCTTTCGCTTCTCTCGTTTTCTCTCAACCCAGTACGTGCGAGGGTTCGGAATAACTGAGCGAATTCAAACAATCAATCTTCCATTTCAACTTATTTCAACTCTGGATCATCGGGTATTTTTTCAGATTCCTTTTCCGGTTTTTTTCACTTTCGAAATTGGAATGGGACCTGTTCTTTTCTACTTCAATACTCTCGATCTCAACCGACTTTTCTTCTTCCACTTCGTCTTCTTCTACTTCTTCTAACAATGGTGGTTCCTGCTCAGGGGTAACCTCGGCAATATGCAATTTAAAAACCCCAAATAAGTCGAATTTTTAGGTATAGGGTTCTTTATCTGGAAGCACAAGGCCATCTGCAATCGATTCAGCTAATCTGAGGTCACAGGTACAGGGTTCTCTATCAATCATCTGTCTTTTTTTTTCCCTTTACATTAATTACTTGAAATTCCACATTTACTAAATTACACGTCAGTTTTTTTACAGCGAGTGCAACCTTCTCCGTTCCTAATGTCGTATTTCGTCTCCTTAAAATTGAAGTTGCAGGTTTGTGTCTTCTACATCCTGTCTTCGCGCGATCTATGAATAGTTTGCCATTGTATTTCGTCTTCATCTTCTCTATCATTGCATCATGTCTACTCTGCTTGCAATCCTTATTCTCTTTGATTGGCTAGGGTTACGAGCTCTTGGACTATGGAATTTGGGGTTACCTAATTTCAGCGTAACTGTTTGATATTTTGTATTTTTTTTTTATGTAAGGTAAATGGTAACATCATGGGTAGCTTCAAAATTTTCATCAAGAAATAAAGAAATTGAAGAGGAGTGATGGTTGCATCTTATTGAAATTCATTTGCAACTAAGGTATTAGTGGAAGATGAATCGATGGATTACTAAAAAGGTTTCTCAACTTGGAAACAAGACAAAATAATAGGAATATGTTACTGCCTTGGGTTTATCTAGGTATCTTAGTAAGTCTGTGGGCTTATGCATGTGGTGTTGATTTCTGTGTGTATCTTGTTGCAGGGGTGGTAATGGTCAGTTTTTTTTTTGTTGCTAGTTTTTTCATTTTTAAGCATATTCCTTCCAGATTCTGCTTGGTGGGTGGGGGTTTAATTCTTTTATTTTTTTTTATCCTTGTATTGTCCCTGTATTGCCTTTCACTCTCAGCTCATGGCTAGGGGTATGTTTTTTTAATGAAATTGTTCCCATGTTGCTCAAAAGAAAGTTGGTTTATGCATCTTACAGTGTTAAAAATTTAGTCTTTACAAATGAGTTTTAAGCAATGAACATTTTCAAACTCATGTCCATCTCTTTCTTGCGTCATCTACGTGTATATGAGTAGGGTAACTCCATTTTTTCTTTTCAAACTTTTGACAACTTTCTCATCTATTGTTTGTTCCAAATTAATTAGTACCCTCATTTGATCCATGTTCAACTGGAAAAAATATTTTGATTGAGAATAATATGAGGTCAATAACAATAACAGGGAACTCAATGGTCTATCTAAATAGAAACAATAAAAAATAACGGATATGGAAAAATTACCTTCAACAACTTTGAACTATAATGGTTGCTTCTCAAATCTCAAAAGAAGTCAAGTGTAGAGTCAAGAACAAAGAATAAATTTAAAAAAAGGAAGAACACGAAGATGACGACTTAAATCATAGAGAAGATTAGGTCTAAATCGAAGAGAAGATGAAGATAAATTTTAGAGAAAATGAGAATGAAAAATCCGGAACCGTGATATTTCATGTAACTGTATTAGTTGATGATTTAGAGCCATAATGACATAGAATTTCCGTACACCTAGTTCTTATTTAACATGTCAACATTTTATGACTTTAAAAAAAAAGCCTAGCTTTGAATCTTTTCTTCAGTTTTGTCACTTCTTCAAAGTTTTGCAGATCTTGATCTTTGTGGTTGAAAATGGTTTGGATCATGGATTCAAGCTCTTCATAAAGGAGATGGAATTGAGGCCTTTCACGTAAGATAGATGAATTATCCGTGATCACTGGAATATCATTGCAGTACATCAGCTGCTTCAACTTTTCCATGAACATCTGGACATGTGTGTATGCCATCTTGTTTCTTCCTCTATTTAAGAACAGATGTATTCTGTATTGAAGTTTTGAATTAAGCTAAACAGGTGAGAGGAGTTTTGCAAGTTTTGTGGATTATTCGGACCCTTTTAAATTTTATTTGTCATAAAGGAGATGGCATTGAGGCCTTTCACATAAGTTGGCTCTTTTACTTTTTTGCAGAATGGGATTATGGTCCCTACAATCCACCAACAACATAGTAAAGGTTTCACTTTTCACTTTTTAATTATTTTTTCTCCATTCCATTTCAAATAATACTTCATACCATTTTTGCATTTTATATATAAACTTATAAATTTGAAATATAAACAGAATCTATAACTTATAAGTGTCAATGGTTATTCAGAATGTGCATCTCCTGCTACTCCTTACTCGTATGCCTGCACTTCCTCTCCAGGTAATTTATATACTTAGATTTGTTAATTTTAAGTGCCTTTTGTCAATTTTCTAAAACCTTGGTTGACCCGGCCTGTTGAAACTTGGATGGTCACTAAATTTTTAGTCATTTGGAAAATTAAGTTAAGTGTTTCAGCCATTCTGATCTAGTGCAGTATCATCATCTGTAACTATACCAAAAATCTTCATCTCTAACATGCTATAAAAATAATACTCCGACAACAAGATTTTTTATTTTTATTTTTTTGAATCAAAGACTAACAAATCTAAAAACGACTAGAACCAGGATCAATTCTCATAATCTAGAATTTGTGGCTATGTGTTTTCTTAATGTTTAAACTTATTCTAAAACCCTAAGAGTCTACAACACCGGGTTCTAAAACATTGCTTTTTGTTATATGATATACAAGAATGAATCTAAAACTGTATGTGTTATTTTGCCATGACAGGTCTAGAAGAGAAGGAATCTACTGAGACAATTACATTGGATAATGACACCTATAATCCTAGTGTTGCTTCTTGTCATGTGTCTGAAAATCACACAGAGGGATTATTATCTAATTTGGAGCTTAACTTGAGCTCTGCACTTGATGAACTGTTGCAGATGGATGCATCAAGTTCTCCAGGGTCTAAATTTGTGAAATTTACTGCAATGGACAAGTTACATGTATGGAAAGCAGAGCTGACAAAGACACTTGAAATCACAGATACTGAAATTGATTCTCTTGAGCATGAATTGAAGTCATTGGTTGCTGATGCTGGTTCTTTTCCAACAGAATACCAGAATAAGACTTCTGGTGGACCTTTGCCTGTGGAGAAAACTGATAGTTCTCCAGAAGAAGTTAACGGAGTAGAAGATTCAGATGACAAGAGTTCAGACACAACATCTAAGTTTGTGGAATCCGTTTCTAAATGCTCTGAAGATGTTGGTAATGATGATGCTTTAGGCTTTGTAACTTCTTGTGGGGACCGAAGTAGCTCTACAGTTTCAGATGGTGAGGATGTAGATAATGGCAGAGAAGATGATAAGTTATATGATTTCATATTTGTCCATGTCACATGATTCATAACTTTCTGGTATCAATTTGATACCCTAACAATATGTTTTAGAGAAAATGGAACTTGTTGGACTCAAGCCAATATCATATCACTATTTTCAAATCAAAGACAGTATGAATTCACAAGTTTTCCAAAAAAGTAAACACTATTTCTTCAAGATCAATATAAATTCATAAGGAAAGATGGTTGAAATCTGTAAGATGATTTTTTTTTTTACTATTTGATTAGAGTATAAGTATCCTGTTTAACATCAACAAGCATACCTCTTTCTTTCTTTGTTATTCTATCAGATATTATATTAGCTGATACTTTGTGTTGTTTGAAACAGAGTTTTCTGATATGACATTTGAAGAATTCAGCAAACAGAAACTCGGAGCTGCACAAAACTGTTCTGCTACCAAAAAGGGCAACCACAAAGTCACTAATGTTGTCCTTCCTCTCACAGTATGATCTTACCTAATCTTTCATGTTTCATTTCACAAACAAGATTCATTTTCATTATCATATATATATATATATATATATATATATATATATATATATATATATATATATATATATATATATATATATATATATATATATATATATATATATATATATATATATATTGTAGCAAGATTGGAGGAAAACTGGAATTGTAAGCCCAGTCAAGAACCAAGGATCCTGTGGATCTTGTTGGACATTCAGGTAATTATCATCATCATCATCAAAAAATCTCCATAAGATAAATAAAAACCCGAAATGGTTTCTTGGTTTATGATTTGATGATGCATGCAGTACTACTGGAGCTCTTGAAGCTGCATATGCCCAAGCTTTTGGGAAATCAGTTTCTCTCTCTGAACAACTTGTAGACTGTGCTCGTGATTTTAACAACTTTGGTTGCAATGGTGGGTTGCCTTCACAAGCTTAGTATTTAGGTTTTGTGTAGTTATTTCCAACAAAAATGTTTCCAGTTGTGCTTTCTATATAGCAAATGTTAACCTTGGTCTTTGCGTTTTCTGTTCATAGATTACAAACACCAATTTCTTTCAAACAACAGAAGATCTAGAGTTTAATTGGGTGATTGAAGGTGATGGATGTAAACTTGATTCTGGAACTCTCAGTCTACCAACATTAGAGTTTAATTGGGTGATTGAAGGTGATTTTGATTCTTGAAACGAGACTCAAGATATCATCTTTTGGCATGGCTATAAGCTTTGGAGGAAACGAGACTCAAGCAAAAGTAAACACACAGAGAGTTGTTGGCACATAGTAAGCTAGATGATGCAATTGTATATAAATGAGTTCATTTTTTTATAACATTTACTCACTTTTGGAATAATTATTTGTATTTGACACATTAGTGAAATGAATTATCTTTGTTATTTATGGTATTTTATTTTGTGTTATGAGATTTTTAATGAATTATTTAATTTAAAAATTAGTAAATCTATAAATAATATATTTTTTTTAATTTTAAAATTATGATACGCAAAAATGTGTGTCATCTTCATTTATGACATGGCCTTTCTTGACAGGAGCTTTCTTGATACGCATTGCGTGTCATTAACACACGCATCGTAAGGTTACGTCACGCGAATGCATGTCGTCTTCCTTTATGACAGGGCCTTCCTTAATACGCATTGCGTGTCGTAAACGCGCATCGTAAATGTGCGTCGTCTCTCTTTATGACAGGGCCTTCCATGACGCGCATTTGCGCGTCGTCTGAGCCTTTTACGACGCACAATGAGTGTCGTAAAAGGCTGTTTTTCTAGTAGTAGGACCCCGAGCATAGTCGGATGATGATGAGAGATTTTTGGATTATAGGCCAGTAGTTGTAAATAACTGTTGTAAGACTTATAATGTCTTGTTTATGCTTTTGATTTGTATCGAAACATGACATCCCGAGGTTTTGATATAAAAGAATTATATATTTATTAAAGAAAGGTTTTGATAAACTTCTATCATGTTTTGTTTTGGGGACCAATTCCGCAACATCTTTTAAAAGGATTTCTCTGATTCTGTTTTAAAAACATAAATTAAATCGGTTTTTTCTGGTCGAGAAATTAGGGGATGTCACATAATAGTCTGTTGAATTTCTTTTTTATTTTCTAAACGTTCAAAAAGTTATTCTTTCATTTATACATAACAAGATATATGATGAGTTTATGTTCGGTTCACTAAATTGTTAGACTTCTTAATGCTCTGTGTGAGCCAATAATTTTTTATACATTTATGATTATTAATTATGATTTTTAAAGTTTTGATGTTATTTTAACTTGTCACCCAACTGAGACACGGGTTATAACCTCGTTATATTGAAATGTCTGGTAAAGTTACATAAAGGGGTGTCTGATCATCGTTTATTGTCCATTTTCTGTCCTTAAACTATAGTTAACAATCACATGGTACGTGACACGGTTATTTTATTTTATTTCCGCCTCCCTGCCTGTCTACTTGTCTACTTGAAGCATTGGATAATCATATTAATGTTGTATGCCTATATGTATTTAGGGGAAGACCTATGAATTTTTTGAAGATGAGGAAAAAAAAAGTTAATTTTTGTGTGTGCTATGTTTTTGAAAAGTCAAACATATATTATTTTTGAACAAAACATAATTTTTTAATCATTTTTTTGAATTTCGTATTTGTTCCTGTATTCAATAAGAACTCGGAAAATATTCAATCATATATAGTATCATAGATTTATGTGATTATTTATGTATTTATGTATCTAGATAGTTTAGCCCATACTTGGCCGAAGGTCTTGTATTTATATTTTGTTGTATTTGTATATATTCTCGATACCTAATGAGAGTTCATTATGGGGAATTTAGCATTCAATATGGTATCAGACCTCTCTCTTTTCTCTCTCTAAAATCGTCGTACCTTACCTTTCTTTCTTCATTCAGTCTTCCAAATCCTTCCTTCATCTTTGTCTGATCCATTCTCTAATGGTAACTAATACATCTGAGAAGCCATACAAAATGATCAATATACGTGTGCACGTCCCCTTAATCCTTGAATTGGATCATCACAACTACGATGCATGGTCGGAATTATTCTACACTCACTGTGCGGGTTATGGTCTTACGAGTCACTTGACTTCACCTATTAAAACCCTAGATAATACGGTTAATGTTGAATGGGATCACGTCAATTTCATTTTTGAATCCTAGATCTATGGTACTCTGTCTCAAACACTACTTAACACTGTCCACAAATAGAATGCATTTGCTTATGTTCTTTGGATAAACCTAGAGAAACGTTTTTATGATAAGAAGGATGTTAAAGTTTTCAAAATCGACATGGAATTATGTCTAACATCTGGTTCCGAGATGTTTCCTTTTCGGAATAGTGAACTTTAATTTAATCAAGAGAAGGTTTCGAGTGTTAAGGGTTTAAGTTTGAACTTAAGAATTGAAGGGGTTTTGGTTGTGCCACAGCGTGGCTACTTAATAGCCGCGACGCAACCACATCATTTAAGCGACAACGTGGTTGTCTTGTGGTTCGCAACGTGGTGGCCGCCACAGTCTCATACCATGAGAGAAGGGAAGGTTGTTTTGAACATGAGAGAATGCAAGGTTGCTTGCTTATTTTGTAAGTAATAAATTAGATTTAGAAATATTTTTTTTTATAAACATGAAACAAGAATAAGGATGGTGACCATTTCGAAGATCAAAAATTTATGAGCTTGATTTTATTAAAGTTTCACAAACTTTATAATATTATTTTTATAAACTTGATATAAGGTGTTGAAGCAAGTGAGAACATGAAAGCATTACAAGAAGTCTTGGTCCATTTATGTCCCTTTGGAATGAACTTGACATTTTTGTGATGGCTCACAAAATGTCACTAGCTTATGGGTTTTTTTATACACAGATTTTTTGCATGCTTGTGTTGTTTATATTTATGTTGATTTCATGTTTATAATTGTTAAATTTGATTTCACATAAAAAATAATATTTTAAACATAAATAACATCACAAGAAGTTTGGTTTTAATGAAATTTATCTTTTAACATAATATAGTAAAAAGATTTAAACATAAAATATTATCGTTCTAAACTAGCTAACAGTATATTTCAATATTAAAATTATATATGTTTGAAATTAAGATTTTAGAGATTAATCAAGCTCCAAACCTTATTTTTTACAAGAGAGTTTTATTAAAACGTTACTAAATGTTCTTAAGCCTCAAACGTCCAAACGTAATAGTAGATATTAATTTTAAACTTTGATCTCGTCAATTATATAAAATTTGGATTTTATATAATGACCTTGTTAAAATTTGATTTTAAATAAAAATATACCATGGCTTATCAGATTCATGCCATAACCATGATATCCTATAATTTTTTAAATGGAATTTAAAAACATCAAAGACCCCTTATTTAAACTCAAATCTATGAAATCCTATTTTAATAGCACTCAAATGTCACTTTTATAAACTAGTGGGGTAAATGACACCTAATGTTAATATTATCTTTTGACGGGCGGGGTGTATTCACAATTTTGATAACCTAGTTATAGGCCACACAAGTTTTTCAAACGAGATGATTTGATCGGAAATCTGTTGTGATAAAGGTCAACATAACCAAGGTTGTCAAAATCGTGATATTGATCGTAAGATCATATGATCCTACGATGTTAGGTATGAAAAATTAGTTTGAACGTATACGGATCATATTTAGAGTAAGATCATAGGATTGGGATCCGATTCGATCCTACTTTCCCTTGATGTTTTTTTGGAAAATGAAAAAATGAATTTATCTTTTTGTGCCTTTTACCTTTCACTAGTTTTCCGTTTATCATTTTGTGTTGTAAGTTGTGACTAATGTTTTAAAGTTTTTTTTTTTTTTTTTTTTTTTTTTTTTTTTTTTAATAGATTTTGAACGGAAAATTGGATTTTAAGGGATTTTTCATGTTTTAAAATAAAAAGTTAAAATTATGTTTTTTGTAGGATCTTAAGATCCCGATCCTGATTTTGCAAACCAAAAACGATCCTACATATGATCTCGATCTTAACAACTTTGACCAAAGCCAATAGAGATTCAAGGCATAGATGAGGTCAAACATATCTATTAAATTTTGTTATTAGCCATCTCATAACACTATGAATTATATATCCGAATATAATTGATACTTGATATCTGGCTAGTTGGATTCAATGAATGGGATAAAGGTCATAACCATTTATTTGTTTTTCAACTTGGATCCTAAAATTTAATAATTAACGTTTTTAAAAATTTAAGGGTATTTATTATTAAAGATTTAAATATTAAAAATATTAAATGAATTTTGTTAAAATATTATAGATGAGAACAAAATTCAATCTCGTAACCATGCATGATCTTTCACTTGCTGATCTACATGAAACAATAACATTTGATGGATACAATATAAACGAATGGATTCATGTCTTGGGAGACAATATCAAGAGAGATAATAAATTATACATTCTTAAAGGCTATATTCCTAAACAAACTTCAATTAGTGGTAGAATTAAACATAATGCTTTGTGGAAGCATTGTTGTGATGTTGAAAATGTTTCAAAAATCATACTTGGTAAAGTTATTACTAGCCTCTGGAAGGAATTTAAAAACTTAAATGCATTTTATATGTTTCATCAAGTGGAGAAGATATTCCTAAAATATAGTGATATTTGGAATAAACCGGTTCAAAAACTGGAAGTATGCAAGGCTGAAGAGAGTCACCATGTGTGCTCTAAGTGATCATTAGTTCACGAAAAGGACACATTTATGCCTAAGAAATCCAAGAAGGCCTACAAAGATGGATCTTGTTTCTTCTATGGAGAAATATGACACTCAAAGATGAACTATCCCTTTTATCTGAGAAGAAAGTATGGAGAGACTACTACTTCTGGTATCCACTAGATAAAACTCATACGTTTCATATAACACTCAAGTACTTGGTCCTTAATGTTAATCTAATATTTATAAGTGGCTTGCAGATATTCAAGAAGAGTAACTACATGAGCATAAGCAAATTTATACTTCACTCAGAGTTTAGTTTATTACTTATGCTTAGAACATAAAGTACTTATATTATAAAAC